GTTAGATCTATGATTTATTGCAGATAGGTAAATACCTAGGTGCTGCGATGATTGTGGTTTACGAGCAATTGGATCGCTAAGAAAATAATTGTTAGCCATATTTGTATACCTTAAAAGATTTCATTTAGTGCACATACCTATAGCCCTTCTACTTCGAGCAAAGTCTCCAATTCACAAAACATGAATACATGAATACAAGTAGAATCATCACACCTCCGTTCGCCTTGAGAACTAATATTGTTCGAGCGAGTAAAGAATAGGTTGTAGCCGTTGTACAAATTCATCCTGAATACGTTGGTATAGAGGCAAATATACTTACTTTATTTATACATCGGTTATCACTTGTGTAGGTATAGTATTATGCATTTAAATAATACGCTATTGCATAATATGATAATACAAGGTATTCAGCGACGTCAGAAGTATAGGTCAAAGGGGGCGAGTCGCTCGCTCAGTTTTGACACAAAGGGGGCCGCGCTCCCTCTAAGAATGAGTAGATAAATCACTCAAAAGCGACTAACACATCTTCTACTGCATGTGCATGCAGAAATTACAAAAAGTATAGAAGTAAAGGATATATTGAAAGAATTTGCCAGCAAAACTGCGGAGAGGCGGAAAATTTGAAATTTGAAAATGTACTAATGGAGCTCCCATCAATGTTGTGTAAAAGATCACGATGAGAAGAGCCAATTTATTAATAAGTCGGCATACCTGTGTAACATATTACTTTGTTATTTTGCGCAAATAAAAATATAACTAATTACACTTTGCATTTCTTTTTCAGTTTAGGTACAGAAGTGACTTTACATTTTAAAAAATCGTTCACGTACATTTTGTGGCCGACGCGCTTTATAGAGATGTGTAGCAAACCGAGTGACTTATTTAATCAAAATAATGAATTCGTGGCTTTTAAATGTTATATTGGTAGGTAAACCAGTAGTAGAAATATGCAATTTAGAGTGATTCGATGAAATTCATCGAGTATAAAATATTCAAAATGTGCGAGTTAAAAACACTTAATAAATTCTAAAGTTACAGTGGTGCAGTTGTTGGCACTGTTAATGGACTTTATTCACCACACTTAGGTTAATACCTTTCCGGTAATAAATTCAAAATATTGATGTGTAAACGATGTCTGGTTGGACGGTGATTTATTGGCTATTTCGATTATTGTTATAAAATATGAACGTAACTACAGATAAAGATGCCTGAAAAAAACTGTTTTCGTAGAAAATATATTTTAGATAAGATAAAGTTTGCGTAAGTAACTGCAGGAAGCGTCCTGTAGCGAAGCTTTCATTGGTTTATAGAGTTGCCAGGCGTCGATAATTGGATAAGAAAATTTAGAATTGTTTAAGGAGGGAAGTTCATTTAAATACCAGAGTTTGCGTTTAGAAGGGGCCTTTGTCAATTGTGTGGTCTGGATGCTGTCCGTCTAAAATCGCCTTTCGAGGCCGAGTTGCTGTCCAAAAAATTGAGTAGACGCGCGTCTTTACGTTAAAGTTTGATTGGCAGAGAGAAGTCAGTAGGTACGTGGTAATCCAGAGTCCATCCTAGTTAGAGTTGAAGCTTTTAAAGAAATTTTACATAGTGGTAGCTGTGAATTCCTATTCAGGAGTTACAACTCATGATAAAGTTTGTCCGATCGATCAAAATTGTATATTACATTATTAATGATCATTTTAGAAGGGGGGCCAGGCTCACTTTCAGGGTGGGGGTTACGGGAATACACCAGATTGACTCTGTATTTTGCAATTAGCGCATAAACGCGATAATTATTAGCTCTATCAGTTCTTAACAATTGATTTTGTGTACTTTTTCCATTTGTTTTGGTACCGGAAAGAATACAAACATAATTGACGTTAAAGAGTGTGCAATGCATTAGGGCCTAATCGTAGTCGGGCACTCTGCCTTTGGAATGCTCTTACGGGACGCGATTCAACATCTTCATCTAGAGGAAGGTCCAAAAGGATTTCTTTTAACGCATGGAAAAAAGTCCTGAAATACTTGCTACCACCCTTTGTATTCGGGTTTTTACATAGAAGTACGAGATTTATCACACTGTGTGTGCAATACCAAATTATACCAGTACACTGTACGAGCTATGTCTTATGGAACGGTATTTGTTTGGATGGGGAATACAATAAGATTAGTCTTTGAAAAATGTAAGGTGTGGGTATAGAACTGCGCAAATGCTGCTGATATGAATTTATGATGTACCAATAGTTAGTATTCCTTCGCATTAGAAATGTGTATTGCCTACTTTTCGACATGGGATCCGATCGGTGAGGTTTCCTTTTGAAATTAAGCTACACGTATACATTTAATATCAATTAAATATAGTATCTTAACAATGATATCCAATCGGTGATGACAATACTCTTTCAGTGAATACGCATTGCGTTGGTAAAAGTTCACATTCTGTTGTTCAGTTGTAATCTGTCACACGTAACATGTTTACTAGATCTTGCGTAAACATTTGAATTTTGGCGCCGGTGCTTCGCACCTGACGTAATGCGCAGTAGAAAACGCGTTTCAGAAAAATAATGAGCATACGGTTGTAAGGGGATAGTGCTTAAATGTATGTATTAATGATGTAAAATGTTTATGTGTAAATTAGAAAACGTGTTCTAAATATTTCTTGAAATTATTATGCGCCAAACTTACTCGATTTTTAATTTTTAGCGCATTTCCACAAAAATAAAAAAAAATGCGCTATTGTGGCCACCTTGTCCGTCCGGCTGTCCGTCCGTCCGTCCGTCCGTCCGTCCGTCCGCTCGTTTTGCGACGCTACTAGTTCTTTATCTTAAGAGCTATTGTTCTACTTTTTTTCGCTATTTGGTTCGTTATGGTGTCGAGTCTTGTACCAAGGAAGGAATTTTTTCTGTACCGCTTACAAAAAAAGTTATTGTAAAAAAAACAAAAAACCGTTTTTTACATGTTCCATAATTTTACACTTTTGCCGTTTATTAACGATCCTAGAGATCGTTTATAATTTTGCATTGCTATCTGTCGTCTGCCTGTTGGTCTGTCCGTCTGTTCCTTTGTCTGTCTGTCCATCTATCTGTCCGTGTGAACGATAACTTTGTTTAGAAATGTTCGATCCTTTTACATCTCCGTTAGTTATGAACTGAATTGCATGAAATTCAATATGGGCATAGCTTTAGCCATATAATACGCAACGCCAAAAGTTGACTCGAATCGATTCAAAATTCACAGTGCCCTTTTCACATCGACCATTTATAAACCGAATTGCAAAATTTTTTACTTATAAAAGCATTTGAATGAAATTTGATACATAGGCACTTGGAATAAAGGAAAATCAACTGCCAATTTCAAAATTTGGTTTTGCGCATGCGCAGTGCCAACTTTTTTTATTTATGGAAGAATTTAAATGAAATTTGATACATAGGCACTTGGAATAAAGGAAAATCAAACGCCAATTTCAAAATTTGGTTTTGCGCATGCGCAGTGCTAACTTTTTTATTTATGGAAGAATTTAAATGAAATTTGATACATAGGCACTTGGAATAAAGGAAAATCTAGCGCCAATTTCAAAATTTGTTTTGCGCATGCGCAGTGCCAACTTTTTTTATCTATGGAAGCATTTAAGTGAAATTTGATATTTAGGCGCTTGGAACAAAGGAAAATCTAACATTAGTTTCAAAATTTATGTTTGCGCATGCGCAGTTCCAACTTTCTTATTTAGAAAAGCATTGAAATGAAATTCTTCTCATAAACTGACATTGAAGTAGCACGACAAAAATGGATTGCCCATGTGCAACGCTATCTTTCATATTTGTGGCCGGATTTTTAAGATTTTATAGAAGTTGCATCTTACAAATGGGAAATGAATGCAAGTGGAAATGCGCTTTATGTAAATCGTTTACGATTACTTTTTAACTTGTTTTATTTTCGTTCGCATGCGATTTATTCAACTGATGAAAAATTTGATATTGTCGATTGGTATAGTGCCTGTAACAGTTTAAAGAGCCAAAGCAACAAATTCTAATTAATTAAGCCAGATCTTTATTTGTTTTATGGAGTTATTTTTGTGGCATAAAATTAGGCGCCCTTCAAAAAATATTTTGTTATTTCTGCTATACCCTCGCATCAAGAGTTCATTTCACGCCGTGTATCCTTCGATGCATTATTATTAACGAGCTCCTAAGCGAGTTCATGATTTTGGATTTTCTGTCCGTCCGTCCGTCTATGTACATGATAACTCAGGAACGGTTTCAAATTTTCAAATTCTGTTTTCAGTAATAGGGAGACAATGGTCAAGGGACTAACTAATTAAATTTTGGTCATTTGGACTTTCTGTTCGTCCGTATGTGTACATGATAACTTGCGAACGGTTCCGAAATTTCCAATTCTGTTTTCAGCATTATGTTTGTTTACCATCGCCCATAGAAGAACGGATTCAATTTTCAGTGACCTAGAAGCTCTTTTGCTATATTTGTTACAAGTTTATTCTCCATCATTCTTGTGTAATCTTTGGCTTACAAACAATTGAAACTGGTCAACCAATATTTGGTTAACAACGATGAACATCGTTTGATGTTGAAGGAATTCACTAGATCCATTCGAGAAAAAAACGGATTTTTATTTCAAATAAGAGAACATTCGAGTATCAGGATTCCAAGGCAATAAATGTAGAGAATAGCAAACGTAACAGGAATACGCGTTTCTCGTTTTATATTATTCGTATGTATTAAATAATACATTTAAAACGAACGACATAAAATTACTTTTTTTCTATTTATTTCCAAACAAAACGACCACCGATATTAACATCCCCGATGCCGTGCAAATACTATATTTTATGATTGCAGGGAAATTTAATTTTATTTACAATAGCGAACTAGGATTTGTATGGATTATAGTTTATAAATATAATTTGAATTGATTTGAAGAGATGACACTGAATAATTTGTAATTATTAATTACACCAATAAGGGTTGTAATCGATTGAGGTGATTAATTGCTTTTGTTGATAGTATTCCCATTCCGACATCGAAAGGTCAGGATTTGACATGGTTAATGACCACAGCCGTAATGCGGATAGCGACTTCGTCGAGGTTCGTGGATTTTCAAAACCGCAGACACTTTCATAGTCGATATCAGAACAACACGTAGAGTCGTTTGGGGTCATACAGGCATTAATCAGGGTAAACTTTGTTACATAAACAATTTAGACGCGACTTCCCGCATTATATTAAAGTATAATAAAAGCTTTGCAGAGGGTGGGGTAGGGTGCTAAGGGTCCCTGGTTCGAATCCGGGTTCAGGCATGGATCAACGAAGAAAACTGTAAAATCATTAGTTATTTGTACAACTAGAGAAGAAAGTGGACTTTTTCAACTCGAGTTAAAGTTTGACACGCGAGCGTAGCGAGTGTATTAATTGATCGAGAGTTGAAAACACTTTCTTCTCAAGGTTTACACATAATTTTTTCTAAAACTTCAATCAAAATTGAAAAATTATCGTATGCAATAATGACGTTTGACACATAGCAATCTAGCTGAAAAAATTGTAAATAAAAAGGTTAGTTGTATTTATGCATTTTGTCAAGTTTACTCGATAACTTTTCGTTGTCAAAGGTAAATGCATCTCTCAAGACATCCAGAACTGAGGCCTACGATAAGTATCGTAGCCCTCGCCAGAACCAATTAAGAAAACAATGCTCTGCACAAATTAAAAGACGCAGAAAGCACTGTATTAATATACAATATATTGGAAAATCCTCGGGAAAATCAACATTTCTAACTATCCTCTGTAAAATTCGAAAAAATAAATCCAAATTACTTGCTACCGTTACAGGTGTTATTTAAAGGATGAGATGTATAGTTAAAAAAAAATTGCGATATTTCATTTAATTAGTTTTAATGTACCTATCCACGCACATTTTTGCATATTTATTTAGCATTGCTAACACAATATGCAAACTTTTAGGATTCATTTTTTAAATGCTTCGAAGAAGCTGCAAAACGATGACTTCTACCACAGACAACATATACTAATGTTGTCTGTGCTTCTACATAATAATTACTGCAACAGATTGCAGGAACACTGACGACTGATTTCAGCAAAAAAGAATAATCCGAATTAACTAAGATTTTCTGAAGCATGAATTGATGGCGTACAATGGGGAACTGAAGTGCGGATAACAAGTATGTTTTACACTCGTATATGTGTTAAACCTGAACCTCTACGTGCAAATGAAAACTGTACATCAATTTCCAAGTTTTGTATCACATTTACTTGAAAGGAAAAATTAATTGTCACAAAACGAATATCAATGTTGTATAAGAAATGTAATTTATAAAAACATTCATTTGCGCCTAGAAGTATTTAGGTTTACGAATACTCTTCGGGATTCTACATGAAAAGCCATTATGGTAAAGGACGCAGCTGGACCGTACATTCTACAAGCTCTCATTCAATTAAATCCCGCTCTTGAAAATCCTCTTCCGTCGACACCACCCATCATTCTCACTTTATTGAAAAACCCAATTGCCGACCTCGCCCCCAGCGGCCCAGTCGGCTTGCAACAGTTCCGTTAGTTACATCTATTTTTCTCCTTCTTTAATCAGCGAATGAACTAATTTTTTTAATCAACAAATCTGGCGCCCGTTGTAAATATCACGACCCCTTTTTAAGCGAAACATAAAGGGCCCTAAGTACGCCGAGATGAAATAACGATATGTCTATCACCACACCATTTTCCCTACACTAATACGACGTGGCTCGTTTGACGCGACGCTCGAAAATGTCGATAACAGAAACGACATTGCCTGAAATTGCGAGATTCTCGAATACCTAACAAAAGTTGAATTGCGTATTTACGTTGTTTATTTCGCAATATATTTTGACGGCTTGTCCATGTACGAAAAATACGATATCTCGGAATTATAGATTTACGCCTACGGTGTTGGCGCTACACGTGTATCTACTCTACGTGGGAATTTAATTAAAACGAAGGAAACACTAGATTGCCATAGAAAAGATATGAAATATCAAACGGTAATACGCCACTAAGTTCAGTGTCTTTTGTGTGACAAAAATCATTAATTGCGTTTCCATGCTATTTTCCCTGGATATATTCGTTGAGAAAGTATTACGAGCGAGACAATTTTTCTTCCGGATATCAAAGAAACGGAATTTAAAGTAAAACAAAATTTATTGTTTCACATATCTACTGTAATGTTTCTGCAATAAAAAACACACCCTTTTGATAGCTCATCAAAAGATGGTAGTCGCAGGGTGCTAAATCGGAACTATAGAGCAGACGTTCCAATTCCCGACTGGTCGAACTTTTTGAGTCTTTTGCAATCTGTAATTGTCGTGAAGCAGTGTAGTCTTATCGGTAAATGTCCGAGAAATTTCATTATAAAGGCATCCGTTAATTGTGGTGCTCTTTTCTATGCGAAGCACGAGGGGTTGATCTCGATGGAAATTGTAATGATTTTTTTGTCGTTTGAAACTTCGCTGACGCTATTTGCGGATTTATCTTACAAGATTTAAGGCCGTTTTGCGGCATGTAGCAACAATTACGCATTCACTTTTACTTTGAATAATCATTTTTACACTTTTTCTTTTCTTACTTTTTATTGTTGATGTACGATTTACTTCATTTATTACCTACCGGATTGTGCTTTCGACGTCGATATTTCTGACTATTCTCTTTTCGCTCCCCAGATCAGAACAAAGATCTCTTAGTCTGCCTTGTTTCCCCTTTTTGGTATTTCTCCTCTCTCCAAGTCCAAGTCGTTTTTCCCAACGGGACCCAAAAAACTCTACGGAAATCCTCATTGTGTTAGCTTTTGGAAAGAAACTGGATCAGTTCTGACAGGCTGTTGCGAGTCCGTGGAAACGAAGGGACGAAAATTAGAAATTGCGAAAGGGAAGTGAAAGAATGCGTTAAAAACCGAGGAATCTCGAGAAAACCCAAGTTCGATCCTGAGTCTGTCTGAAGAAGAAAGAAGAAAAATCACTAAAAGCTTCCAGGAAACCAATACGCCATGAAATTTCTAAAAGAAAATTTAAATGAATATTTTTGGGCAATGAAAACTACTAGTCAAATGGTGGAGGAAAAATTCATCTTTAACGGGCCAATTAACATGGTGGGCTCCCACCGACTCAAAATTTCAGAATCCGAGCGACAGGTTATCACAAAAAAATATAAATCACTGAAAAAAACTGACTTCTAATTTTGCGCTAATTTTCTGTTGTCTAAAAGTCTGAGTCTTTTTTTAATTCTAAAAATCTGCGGTGCTAAAACAAAAATGTTATTATCGATGTTTGTAGTAAATTGAATTCTCTTACAGCCTGTCATCCATATTTAGAAAAAAGTAGTTTCGACATCAAAATTTCAACGAAAAGTTATACTGTTTTTTCGAAAAGTTACTCACTTTTTATTTCATGGTAATTAGGCTTAAAAGAAAGCTTAAACTTTCTACTTTTCAAATGCGACAAGATGACGATGGGATCTCATCCAGATTTAGCCCTGTGGTTTTTTACTGGGTGGGTGGAGATTCTTTGATCTCGTCAATCGAATGGTTAAGTCAAAAGTCAAAAATCAAAATCCTTTGGCAAACTATTATCAGACCTAAAACAAACTAGTTTCATTAAAATCGCGGACGATGAGGTTCAAAAGTGACTGATCTGACTTGAAATCCCCCATAAGTGTAATGAATATGGAAAATCCTGGGTAGTACTTGGAATTCCCAGGAATTCTCGGTTTGGAAATTCTGCTGTATGCGATTTTTGATCCATATGAACCCCTCAGCGAAGCCTCAATCGAATCCCAATCACAGAAAACCGTTGCATCGATTCTTGTTTGTGGATCCAAAGTGATTCATGCAGGTTTTATCGCCAGTGATAACTCTTAAAAAATATCAACATCTACTTTTGAAGAATCCAAATTTTCCTGACATACGTTATGAGGAGCCTGAGACACATTGTTCGTCCCCAAATCTTCGAGTAAAATTTTCAAAACTGTTGACTGTTCATTCTTCGATCTGTCAACACCATATTTTCAAATCTCTTTATTGTAACCTATGGGCTGTGTTCTTGCCTCGGGGCCTACCAGATTTTGAATCAGCTTGTATGGATTCTCGGTCCCATCGAAATTATTTGGACCAGAATTCTACGTGATAATATAATAGGGCATTCTCACCATATACGGCTAGCATTTGTTCGTGAAAGGGCCTGTATACTATACAGTCAAAAACTGTATAATGCTTTATGATCAGGTTTTACATCACCCATTTTTCAACATTTAAACCGCTACAAAAATTACAAAAATCAATTTTTACACCATTTACTCAGAACACGTATGCTGAATCATTATTGCGTTTTGTGAATTGTACAAGCTTAGGTGAATTGTGACTTCTGAATTTGCACGCATTGCCATTTGTAGGTGGAAACAACTGATGACTTACCAAAATTCAAAATATGCACAAAAATATTCCTATTGGCACAATTCACAGTTAACCGAGCCCGCGAAAAACTGAAACGTGCAAGCACCCAAGGCATGAATTAAACTGAAATTACGTTATCAGGAATGAGCGGTATGTTTATTACAATTACAGCGAACCGCAGATGTTTACTAACCGCACGATATGTCACCAATGTTTTTTAACAAGATTCGTTTTATCCAAACTGTCATTTGTGGTTATATGAGACAATTTTATTATTAACGCATGCACGCAGACATCCTCGCGTCAGAAGTAAATGTAAACATTCTTGTTATAATGCTCTTAATTTTATAGTGTGATGCAAATTTTAATCTAGTTGATTTGCGGTTTATTTTGAAGAGAACTATATATAAAAAATTGGCAGTTCACGTTTCACATCTGGATCGTAAAGATGGGCAGATAAAAAGTGACAGGAAACAAGTAAGTCTCCGAGACCCACACCAAGTAAAGTGTTTTTCATTGCACGAAAGATCGAAGCGCAGATAAACCAGTATCTGAAAAATCATAAGATTGAGGTGAGGTGACGAAAACGAGCGCTCGAAAATGTCATGATCTAAATCTGGATAGGTCGAACGGTTTACAACAATACATTATTCCATATTTTCAAATATTTTTCGCGAAATAAAATTGGGATTT